AAATACAACTTGCCTAATAATTCTGCACTCCCTGTATACCAGCTAGCCCAACTTCAGCAACCCTAAAAAAAAAGTCACTGCTGTTTAGTTTTGTCTTCATTTATGTTGGAAGTGATAGCAGAGCTGTACATTTTAATTCTTTCATAAATCTCTCAGTCAGAACATGGTATATCATGTTTAGGTGGAAACTAGCGAGCTAACTCCCTGCTAACTTCTAACTCCCATTAAATTTAATAAATTCTGGTTTCATGGATGCCTGGATGTTAAACTTAATTGTTACACCTGTTAAAGCAGCAACGCTGATCATTTTATTAAAGATGAAAGAATTTAGACAGTTTTTAACTCTCAGTTATGCTGCAGTGTTCGTTTGACTTTGGGACCTGAGGCGGACGTAGTTTTGGACCCAGATTACTCTGCGAGGCTCCTCACTACAATAGCTGTAATGCTCCAACAATCCATCAAGCAGTGCAGCTTCATAGCTTACCAAAGTCGTACTAAAACATTTTTTGATAGACTTCTGAGCGCCGTGTTCCACATAAAATCAGTTCGAGGACACTAAGCACAACCAGAATTCATACACAAGGCACACATACACAAGGCACACAAAATTAAAGGAAATTAAGTGCGTGTTATAGTGTAGAAAATACAGTATAAAATTTTTTTCATATTTTTATGGGATCCTAAATATTTTCAACAATTTATTACATTGGAAATAAAACAAATTATACAATTATTTTAGAAATTGCTTTAAAATATTTTAATTGTGTTAACTATGTTAATATTAAATATTTCATTAAAAACTAATATAACATTACTGATAAATGTGGGTTTGGTTTGTTTTCTGTCCTCTGTGCGTCCTGAGGTGGAACTCACTCTCTGATGAGTCTGCAGACGTTGTCGTGGTACGACAGTTTCAGTGAGTCCATGACCAGGAGGCACGGCCTGCAAACAATGACAGTGTTACACAACCATGGAAGGAAACTGGACAAACTGCAAATAATACAAAAAAAACAAACAAAAAAAAACAAAAAACAAAATTGAAAACGGTCCACAAATATAAAAAAAACTGAACAAAAAAGGAATAAAAACTGGGGAAAAAATGGAAATCTGCATGAAATGTCACAAAAGTAATGAGAAAAAGCAAATAAACTCAAGAAAAATGAAGAAGAAAAACATGAAAAGAAACATCATTGACATGTGTCTGGTAAAATAAGGAACAGAAACCTCCGTGATTGAAACGAAATGATGTATAAACTTGATAAAATCTGTCATATGTGCAGAAAAAGTGACAAGTTAAATAAAAAAACAAAACTAGAATAAAATCTGATCATTTCTGATTGATTTCGATGTAAAATCTCATGTGGGTGAACTCTGACCTCTTTAAGACTCTGTCCTTCTTCCAGCCCTGCTCACTGGACTCCTGCAAACACACAACACAGTTACTCAAACCCAGGATTTTAAAACAATAATGGAGAAAAACATCTCAGTGATTGTAAAGAACACTGCATCTCCTCCTCTTCAGCAGCATCAACTAACCATCACATTTCACATTCAACACAAAGGTCAGCCCATGTTTTCCCAAACAGATCTCACTAGAAGATTCAACACTGAACTGATCATCTGAGCCAAATAAACTGTGTGAACTAATGAATGTGCAGCGTGAAATCTCAGAGGATCAGTTTTGCATAAATATAAATAAATAGTGTCGTCACAGCTGTACGAAACGAGGTGGAAACCCTCCACAGACTGAGGACACCTGCTGCATTTTGATGGATTTACAGTCTGTACTTACACTTTAAATACCAGGTACTGCTTAATTACTGTGAAACCAGTGGTAACTTTAACATGTAATTACAGTTTACTACAATCAACTTCACACCTAAAGTGAAAAAGTATATTTAAACGGTAATTAAAGGGTAGTCAAGTTCAAGTTTGATTACAATAAAGTTACTGCTCATCAGTCTGTGTAATCAGTGGAGCTGATCTATAATTACAGTATGTTTACACTGTACTTACAGTATATGTGGATTATAATTAAAGTGTAAGGGCCATGAAATTAGTCCTGTACTTACAGTCACAGTATATGTTGGTTGTTTTTTTCCAGTAAGTTTCCCCATTGCCAGGTTTCTAAAATTTTATTAAGAGACCCTCACGACTCATCGAGTGACACCACTGATTAGCCAATCAGTGACATGGAGTCTGTTGATGTCACTTTCTCAGATCAGCTCAGAACACTTAGAATCCTGGCTGAGCAGGTAATACTGAAAAAAATGGTTACTTATTGCTGACGGAAGGTTGCCAGTGGACATTTCAGGCTCTGGTAGCCTAGGTAACCGTGTGATGCATTTACATGTGAGTCAAGGCTATCCTTTCACTCTCATCATTCCAGCTTCAGTTGCTCACATCAAAGTTGAGAAACATTTTAGACCCACACATGTCACAACCTGAATGTCACCAGCTTTCTGTGGTCGTGACACAACTGGATATTTACACCACACTGAAAGCAATGACAGTGTATGAACTTACTGGTGGCTGCTGCGACACGAGACTAGAGTTTGGCTTTCCCACAGCTCCGGATTTCCCTGCAACGACAACAAAAACACATTCGCGTCTACACGAGCAGCTCTAAATAAAACTACATGTGAGGTTAAACATAGAACACCAAAGATAAAAAAGATCAATGAATGAAATGGAAAGATGGTCAAAGAAAAAAAAAGGAGAAATGAGCACAGATGATGAACCAGATGTGACCTCCAGTTTACTACGAGCTGATTTATAGACCATAAAGATTCAAAAATGTCTAAATGGGTCTTTAGTGGAGAACATATTTAAGTCTGGAACATTTAATCCTTTAATTTTGGGTGTCAACTTTGAGCATGGTGTTTTAATCAGCGCTGGCGAACATCGTGCCCCAAATACCCTAAAACGCTGCCTCCCAGAGGGACGTAAACACCAGTATGTCTGGTGCCCATTAGAGACGCTCTGCTGAACGTGACCGAAGCCACAGCTTTCATTCAGCCACCGAGACAAAAACCAGGTCAGCTCACCTGCTCGCCTCTGAAACTCCTCGTACCGAGCCTCCTCCAGACCTGGGAAACACACCACCACCAGGTACCAGTGAGCTCTGCCAACACAAAACCACAACATACAGCTGAGGAGAGACGGACAGAAAAACCCAGAACCAAAGCTAAAAACACACACACACTCATGGTTTAAATATTTACAAAAAAAAAAAAAAAAAAAAAAGAGGATTTGTTGTGAAAACATTTCTTCTGATCTTGTACATATAAAAAAAAAAAAAGAATGTGTAAGAAAACAAAACTACACAAAATAAATAAGAAGGTCAAAGAAAAGAAAAATGGACATTTTGCACTAAAAAGTTTCATAAAATACCAGTAAAAGAAAATAAAAAAATAATTGAATTAAAATTTAGTTAAAAATTGGAAAAAAAAAAAAAAAAAAAAAAAAAAGAAGTAGTGGGCTACCAAATAAATACATGTGTTAAAAAATTAATTTCCCACAAAAAAAAAAAAAAAAAAAAAGCATAAAAATGGCACAAAACCACAAGAAAAATGGCCTTAAATTGTGAAATGTCACAATAATTAATAATTAAATAAACAAAAACAGAAAGAATAGTAAGAATATTTTAAAACAAAAAAAAAATACATAAAACATTTTTAAAAATAATGAAATAACGTGAAAAAAAAATGGATAGTCCCACTGAACAACCTCAAAATCAGCAGACGTTTTATTCAACAGTAATAATAATTTAAAATAAATGTTGATCTCCATTTTATAATGATTAATAATGGGACATTATAGACTATGTGCACGTTAGCATATGCTACTTCCAGTGCGGAAACTCCTGTGGGGAGCTTTGTTTCCGATGTCCTATTTGGGCCTTGTTCACAATCCAAAACAAGTTAAGCAAATGAATGAATCACGTGGCGATTTACATTTCTATAGATGTCTTGGGCATTTATCCAATATATCTGTAAATTATGTTAATCGACTTGATATTTTTTCCCCCGCGCCTCAGGGATTCAAATTTTATATTTCTCAGTATCTGTAAACAGCTGTCCCTCATTTATCGCGGATGTTATGTTCTAAAATTAACCAGCGATAGGTGAAATCAAGTAGCCAATTTTATTTTTTGACGGTGCAAAACATTTCGTGGACATACAGTACTGCACTTCAGAGTCACACTGCTAGCGATCGATGCAGTGATTCTGTACTGTACAGGAGAGACGTCACGGAGGAGATCGTCTGCAGCGATCAGGACGCAGGACACAATGTGACGTAAAAAAAACAAAAAAACAAAAAAAAAAAACATGAAAACTTGCACTAAAAAAAAAAAATCTGCGAAACAGCGAGGTGAAAGGAGAACCGCGTTATTAGCGAGGGACCACTGTAATTTTGAAGGTAAGTCACAACATACCCTTCGTAAATACTAATGTATAGAAACTCTTACCAGCAATCATTCATTTTTTGTGTGGCTTTTTTTCACGGTTTGTTGACATGCTGTGTAGGTGTGTACTTGACTAGCTGATATCGACATAACGGGGAAACATCTGGTTTGACTATTCTTCACCTGTAGTTTGAATGCTGAACATTTGCCTGTTTAAATCATAAGAGCAGTCACTATACAGAGATGTGCTTCTGAATGTGGACGATGTGTCTTCTGCTGCAGTAATGCAGTTCTGCTTGTGTTGAGTGATGTAAACAACTGATCGATCTAAACTCTTTAAACGTCAAAATTGATCATTAGATTTTTTATGACACAGCAGTGGTGAGTGTTCCCACCTTCTGCTCTTTGTAACTTAACGCAATCTTTCCGTTTTCGAGTTTTGGTCATGATTTTGGAGTATATCTTTGCAGTAGCCCTACATCCGGTCTCAAACCAGGAAGTTAGCATTTTCTCGTGCACAGGGTCTATTGAAACTGTGACGTTGGTGCTGAGAGCTGACCAGAGGAAAACAAAGCCAGGTTTTCTGTGGTTGTGACTCTGAGTGGAAGTTAAACTGATTTGGTTGCACTTTTTTCCCCCTTTTTTAAAAAAAAAAAGAAAAACAGAGTTTAATGTGTTTTTCAGGCCTGAGTATTTCATGTGGATATCTGCTGTATGAACGTATGAAGGTGCCACATTAACACTGTGCCTCTGAAAATATTCTCAGTGTGGAGGTAAAATGTCGCCTGGCCTCGTTAAAAACACGAAGGAATGGTGCAAAGATGCCGTAAAAGCAGCCTGAGGTTTAAGATGTCCTGAGCAGGTCTGGATGTTAATGAGGACCCTGAGGGGGGGGGCTGGGCCTGAGGTCAGAGTGGAGCGACAGTGGAGGAAGCGTCTCTGGTAAAGCCATCACGTGCGGCCAGTTGGCAGGTACGTGCGCTGATGAGGTGCTCGAGTGCAGCTTTTATTGAAAAGTGGCGTCTCTGAATGTGGGGCGAGGAGCTGAGGTCAGTGCGGGCGGCTCCAGGAGGTTTTATTCCAGCTGAGCACAGCGCCACTGTGAAGGTGGAGGAGGGGGACTTACTCTTGATTGACAGGCACGAACAGGAAGTCTTTGGTGAAAATGTCCACGTGGCGAGTCCACGTCTTCACCCGCTGGTGCCGCGTCTGACGGTCACTGAGGACACATGAGCACAGAGACACTCAGACATCTGAAACCTCGCACACCTTTTTTTTTTTTTTTAATAAAAGAGATGCACACTCTTGCTCGTACGGGACATAGGGGGCGGTGCCCTCGCCGGCCGCTCGCCGTCTGCTCAGCTGCTTGTAAAAGAAGCTGCTGAAGATGTGACTCCTCTCAGCCACCGAGCCGCCAACGCCCTCCAGGAGGAGATACCTGCAGCACAAAGAAGGAGGGGAGGGGGACCCCTGCAGGTGACCAGCAGCTACTACAACCTCTGAAACCTCTGAGGGAGGTGGGCGGGGGAAGGAATCAGGGTTGGGGGGAGAAAACAGTGAAGGAACAGGGAAAAAAGAAGGAAGGAGGGAAGGAAGTAATGAGAGAGGGAAGTATAGAGGGAAGAAGGAAAGTAAAGTAGAAATGAAGGCAGAAGGAAGGAAGAATAAAAGAGGGGATGAGGACGAGTGGATGAAGGAATCTGGTAAAGAGGTAAGGAATGACGGAAGAAGGAAGGAAAAACAGAAGAAAAGAAGTGAAAGGAGTGGAAGAAGATAGGAAGAAGAAATTGGGGAAGGAAGTAAAGAGGAAAGTAAGGAAGTAACAAAGAAGGATGATGGAGGGATGGAAGAAATGAAGGAGGGATCAAGGAGAAAAGGAAGTGAAGAAATGAAAGAAAGAAGGAAGAATGCAGAGAAGGTAGAAAGGAAGGGAAGCGTGAGGGAAAAGAAAGAAGCAGCAAGAGGTTAGGGGGCAGGGAAAGAGGGGAGGAATGTAAAGAAAGAAAAAAGCAAAGGAAGCAAGGACAAGTGGACAAACTGACTTGAGGTAGAAGTCTATGATGACATCATTGAGGAACTCGCCAGCATCCAGACAGGCCAGGTCCTCCTTGGTCACGGTGATGCGGCCTTTGCAGGGGGCCACGGGGTACTGGATCAGCCTGGAGACCAAACTCAGGGTTAATGCCCATATATGTAGTGTTTGTCCTGGTTATACTGGTTATACTGGTTTTACCTGGTGGGAAGACCAGCAGAGTTTAGGCTGGACTTGTTTCTCTGACCTCTGCTCAGTTGATTCGACCTCTGTCAGGAAACACACATCTGTGACTTTTGACCTTTAATAGTAACGTTTTGTGACAGACTGATTAGTTTGTGTATCAGGTTACAATCTGTGTCTCTTTATTTAATGATCTGTTTTCAACCATAACTTTTAGTCTCATAGTCTGTCCTGATGGCGTTCAGCGCCACGGCAAGAGCAGAGGAGCTCAGAGGAGGTGAAGGGAGAGGACGAGTCATCTCTTACCGTCGAGTGTCCCAGCAGTCTGAGGAGGTGCTGGTCCACAGGAGGAGGACAGCTGTGGAGGAGCAGCAGCCCGTTGGCCCAGTCCAGAGGGGAGGCCGGGCCTTCAGAGGAGGAGGGGGTGGCGACTTTGTACTCCTCCATGTCGAGGATGGAGGCCAGCAGGGCGGCCTGGAGCTCCTGCAGCTGCTCCTTCAATAGCAGGAGGATGAAGCAGCATGGAGGACCTACAGAGAGTAGGAGATGCCAGGTTATCCAACATGAGTACATTAAAACCAGTTATAAACAGACTGGTCCAGGATCAGCCCAGTCAGCCCAGCGCTGCGATGTCATTGAGCACTATGAGCCCAGTTGAACCAGTGAGAGCGCTTCTATTCTCCCAGTAAACACCAGCAGCAGCTCTCTCTCTCTGTTTCCACCCGCAGGTCTCTCTGGCCCCGTACAGATGACCTCACAGCTGGAATCGGTACACTGTGCCTCCGGCTTGCCACGATTGGCCGATGGCTGGGTATGGAGCCCTTTGATTGGCCGGCAGGGGCCCGGCCCAGCGTTGCACGGCTGCAGAAGTAGATTTTCCGTGAAGCCTCAGAGTGAAGCTTTGATTTTGGGCTTTGTGCAGAGATCCTGTGTGAGGCTGATGGATCACTGCATGGGGAAAACAGCTTGACTCTGTAACAGTTTTATAATTGAATCTAATAAACCGACTCCAGCCCGGTTATCCTTATCCTCTGAACACCACCTCAGACTCTGCAGGTTTCCCTGGGAGGAGGTCGGGCTGGTTTGGTGATGTAGAGTGAGCGCTCGCTGCAAGTTAAACTGGGAAGCAGCTGAGTGGAAACTGTGCGGTGATGGAAACTGAGCAGAGCAAACATCAACCGGAGCTTTAACCCTCGCCTTACCCGAGCAGCAAGACGAGGAGGAGGAAGAGGAGGTCTGGATGGAGGACAGCTCCTTCTGCAGCAGGTTGGCCTGAGCATCCGTCACCCACAGGAAGAGCAGCGAGGGGGCGGGGCCTTCCCAACCAGCCAGCAGAGTTCCACCACGGGCCACGCCCCCGTCCCACAGGCCGTAACCCCGAACCTGAGACGCCACCACGCTGACCTGACACTCCTCCACCCCTGAGAGGAAAAAAAAATGAATTAATTTGTCTCCTAATTCTGACTTTTTAAACTCATCTTCATCTAATAAACTGTGACTTTAAACCCATGATTTCACCTGATCATCTAACATCTGTCTGATGGAAAACAAGAGGTCATAACATCTGTGGAGCAGTGAGACCTCCAAAAATGAAGTGTTGAAAAGATGGCAGTAAAAGGAGTGTTTTTACTGATGCAGTCTCCATGTTTAACAAATCAGGTGAGACAGCAACTTGTCAATCACAGGTAGCTCCATCTTAAATCCTTTAAGACTAATGAATCCATCATTTACAACATGAACATCCTGTTTTATTGAAGAAGAAAAGCTTACCACAAAACGGAAAAGTTATGACAAATCAGACTATAAGGCAAAAAGAAAGTGCAGCTTTATGGTTTCATAGACAAAAGAATTTCTGTGGCTGCAATATGACGAGCTATATAACCAGGGCTGCACATAAGTGGTCCGCAGGTGCGCATTCGCTGTCAAAAAAACCCAAAAAAAAAACAAAAACGCCACAAGATATGAAGTTGCAACGCGTGTTTGCATACATAAGATTTTTCTGGAGGAGGACAGACATTTGTTTAAAACTCTTAAAGATGTCAAAGAAGCTCCTTTAAGCAATTACTTTGGTGTTCCTCCACCTCCAAACAAATGTCAGGAGTCGAACCACAAAAGAAGCACGTATTCTCGGAAAAGTGGTTGCAGGAGGTGAGCTGGCTTCAAACAAATGATGAACGCACAGAGATGTGGTGCAGAATGCGCCGTGAAAATCCAACTCTAGTGGACAAAAACAGTGCTTTTTATATGGACGCAAACGCGCGTTGCAACTTCTTATCTGGTGCGCGTCTTTTATTTTGACAGCGAATGCGCACATGCGGACCACTTGTGTGCACCCGTGTAAATAACATAATGTTCTGCCGGGTGTGTTGTTGGTTTTCTCTCGATTTCTGATTCGACATGCGCCTTTGTTACTGGGACCAGTCATTTTAAGAAAGCCCCCCATTAGAAGCCATGAGAAATGCAAGAAATGAATTATTGCTCAATCTGCAATATCTTTCCCAGAACAAACACCAATTGCAAATAACATACTAAAAATAAACCTGAAAAATCTGTTTAGAACAGCATACTATGTTGCAAAGAGTGAACTACCACTGGCAAAATTTAGCAGTCTTTGCAAACTTCAAAAAGCAAATGGCCTAGATCTTGGTTCCACTTGTCTCTTACCTGTGAGTTCAGCGGAAATTTCAAATTCAGGATCTGACACAGATGGATTCATGTCCTACACAGTTCTTACAAGTTCATAGAAATTTCTGTTCAATTAGAACCAAGTATTTGAGTTGATGATTGTAATTTTTATACAATGTTGTAATTTGTTTTTCAACAATTTTTTGATTAATGTTTTGTTTCCTTTACAATATTATACATTAAAGTATAATATTGTAAAGGAAACAAAACATCAATCAAAAAATTGCTCTCTTTTTTTATTCGGGCTACTTACATTTATTTTGGGCGACCAAAAACTGAAGAGTCCCTGCCCCAAGGGCTACCAGGGATTTTGAAATTTTGAGAGCCCTGAGATATATATTTTTTTAATTACTTTTGTTTCAGCAACATTAAATTTAAAAATTGTACTTTTGAGTTAAAATATGTATTTATAATTTTAATAAATGACAAATTAAAAGGGCATGAACATTTTTTTTGTATCAAAAAAATATCGAACCGTGACACCACAGTATCGAACCGAACCGTGAATTTTGTGTATCGTTGGACCCCTAATATACACACACACACACACACATATATATATACACACACATACATACATACATACACACACATATACACACACATACATATATACACACACATATACACACACACACATATATACACACACACACATATATACATGTATGTATGTATGTATGTATGTATGTATGTATGTATGTATGTATGTATGTTGATCTCCAAATCTTGAATATCCTCCTCGTCACACGCCTCTCTCAACACCGAAACGTTGTAGTCATGATCCATCGTGGTCATAGGACAAGTATCAAAATTAACCCCGGAAAAATTACAACTTAAAGCTGGTTTATAGTTAATTCTTCAGTGGCTGGTTGAAGTGCACAAAAAGCGCAAAAGACGGGTTATTGCTTTTAATAAATTCACAGTTCCAGGACAAAAGAAAGCCAAAAATGTTCGGACGCCTGCAATAAAGTTGCTGCTCACTCCGCCATCTTGTTTCCTCCCTCTCCATTTTACGATAGTTACGGGTCAGAGTATCTGTTAAGAATAACACCGTAAGTATATCTTAGTATGTAAGTATACTCTCCGATCCTTACTGCGCATGTGTAAAGTCTGACCGTACAAATCGGGTCTACCTGATCCGTACCGCGCATGTGCAGATGTTTTCTTCTTCTTCTGTTCGTTTAATGGCAGTTTACTCCCCAGTGTACGAGGATACCGCCACCTGCTGACCGAGCGAATAAACCCTATTATAAACTGAATTAGCGTCATTACAAACGTGTGTTAAATTTGATTTAGCGATAGTCGAGTGTGTTTATGCTTGTCTGTGAGGAGAGGATTGTTGGAATAGTGATGATGATGTGCGCTATCACTGTCAATTGTCAGTAAACACTTAATCTGGCTGATGAATCTTCACGTGGACTCATATGAAATACGGCAGTGGAGTAAAGACCCAGACGACTTACCGCCACTGTCCTACCCCGATATCTTCACATATCTTGTTTGTGGAGTAAGCGCTTACACTGCGAACCAGTTTCATAATTACAAGTCACTGGAGGCACACATCCAATTTACTAACGGCTGGGTGCAAGATTTGGCTATTTTCAAGCCGCCAAACTGTGAGTACGTCGTCATTCAAACCAAGGTAAGTCAGCTGGAGTGCGGTCTACACCGCCACATCCTTAAAATTCAGGGAAATAAAGGACGCATTTCAGGGCCGCATTTCGAGCAGCCTTCGAATTGGGACAGCCTTCGTCGCGTCGCGGTGACGTAATCGGCCTTAAAATGCGCCTTAAATGCCTCTTAAGGCTGCAGACCCTGAATTGGGATACAGCCCAGTCAGATATGTTTATGATGATGTTCATGGTGGTGGATCAGTGATGGTGACCTGAGAGTGAAGCTGTGGGTCCCCCTGGTGGACACACAACTTTTCTCTCTCTGTCTTTATTTAGAAGTTTTTGCCATGATAAAAGGGAAAGGGCTTAAACCAGTGTATTTTTTGTGTTTTTATGCTTTAAATGATGCTGAATGACTGTTTAATATGATACTGCTGTGTGTCTGCTCTGAGCTGCCGCATTTGTTTCACACAGTCAGTCTTTTCTGGAGAAATGGAGAATAGAATAGAAAAAAACCTTTATTATCCCACGGATGGGAAATTTGGGTGTCACACGGCTCTTATAGCAAGGGGAATATAAAATATAAAAGGAAGACACAACGTGGTCCTATATATATAAGCAACTGAAGTTCGTATATACAGGTAACAATGTACAGAAATATGTATAGAAAAATTGTACAGAGATATGTATAAAATGTGCAGTGAACAAACAAGCTGATTAGTAAGATAACCAAAAGGATGTTAAACTGTGTTATAGAGTCTGACAACTGCTGGTAAGAATGACCTGCGGTAGCGCTCCTTCTTACACTGTGAGTGTAAAAGTCTACAGCTGAACGAGCTGCTCAGTGCTCATACAGTCTCATGCAGGGGGTAGGAGGTGTTGTCCATGATGGATGTTAGCTTAGACAACATCCTCTCCTCCCCAACCTGCTCGATGGACTTCAGCGGACAGTCCGGGATAGGACTGTTTAATGTTGTTACACAGATTTTATATGAGCTGAAACTGTGATGTAGATTGAATTTAGAGCAGGTTTTAGTTGCTTTTTATGTGTATCAGGTATATGTTATCCCGATGCACATATAAGTCTCATCTTCATGCTTCAGGATTATTTATCTGGAAAAATAACTCAGTGGAAAAAATTCATGATAGATTACATGAATGTTGTATTTACCTTTGGCTATTACTGAGTGTATAATTGTTTTTTACTGTCTCTGTATCCTGTATATACAATTATTTACAATATATAAATATATATATAATGTTAGTAATAATAGATATTATTTACTAACATTAGTAATAATAGATGTTATTTACTAACATTTGTATATTAATTATATATTTAATAAATAATTTATAAAGGGGATTCGTAATTTTTTTTATATGTTTGATATTAATAAAGTTTAAAACATTAAAAAATAAAAGCGCGGGAAGTGGTGGGCGGGCCCAGTTTGGAAAACACTAATGCGCATGTGCAGTGGGTCAACCAGAACAAGCCCAGTAGGAAGAAAACAAAAGTTCGGCCGCCATTTTGGGGCAGGAGAAGCGGTTCTGCTGAAGGCGGAGTGGGACGGCGCTAACACAGTCTCCGAGTGGAAGCTGTGTTTGGAACACGGAGCTAAAAAAGGAGCTGGAGCCGAGAGGAGGAGCGAGATGAGAGGGCCAGAGATGAGTTAAAGGTCTGAATAACCTCCAGTGTGTTACAGAACGGGACACAGAGAACTGCAGTCCGAGCAGAGAGGTCAGAGGGCGGCAGGCTGACCTCCAGGTAAGCTCGTTAGTGTGGAGTTACTCCTCTTCCTCACAACTCCCCCCTCACGCCCCTCTTTCTCCTCCCCCTTTCTCTGCTCCTCACCTGAAGCCGCCTCCACCTCTTCAGTGAAGTGTCCCTCTGTCGGCTTCACTTTAACTTTATCCAGTTAGGTACCTCTTGAAGGTGGAATTACTCAGCTTTTCATTTTTGTAAAAGTTGTAGCACCTGTGACTGATTTACGGTGGTTTTTAACTTATTTCCAGCTTCTGTCCCTTAGGATTTTGGTGGTTTAAAGTGGTATTACTGAACTGTCAGTGTAGGGTTATGAAGGGTTGTTGCTGATGATCCTTAGGCATTTTAATGTGGTATTAGTAATCCTTTTTAGTGTTTTGTTTTACATAACGCTTGCTGGGTTTGAATCATATTCTGTTTCTCCTCAGAGCTGCTCTATCACTTCCGCCTTAAAATCTACGGCCACACAGCCAGAAGAAGACCTGGAGCAGATTCTCAGAGGTGGGTCTGAACAGGGTGACGGTGCATGTGTTCTCTCAGGTGTTCCCCATGACCCCTGACCGGGTCTGATGTGATTCCTTTTGTAGGTGCCCTAATGGTCCGAGGTCGGGATCTGAGCGACTTTGAGCGCGGCGTCATTGTTGGGGCTCGGATGGCGGGAGTTTCAGTCACCAAGGCCGCCCAGCTTACCGGCGTCTCCATAGGAACAGTGACAAAAGTGACAGCGGCGTACAAGACACAGGGGAAATCATCGGTGAGCCGCGTGGGGAACTGCGGGCGGCAGCGCTCATTAGGCGAGCATGACGCACGGGCACTGGTGCAGTTTGTGAAGAAGAACCGCAGCGCCACGCTGGCTCAGGTGACGGAGAGCGTGAACGCTGGGCGGAGCCACAGCGTGTCAGCCAGAACGGTCCGCCGCCAGCTGCACAGGGAGGGCTACTATAAGGAGGTTACGGTGCCCAGAGCCAGCGCCACAGGAAGCCCAGAGGATTGTGGGAATGGTGAAGCAGAGGGACACTCGGATGACGTTGTCACCGCCGTCGATCAGACAAGCTGAACCACATCACAGAGCTAAAAACTGACAGACTTATCATGTGACAGGAAGAGGAAGTGTGGCCTCAGCTTTAGCATGTCGAGGAACATGTGAGCAGACCCTGGACAGGAGGTGAGAGTGTTAGTCGCACTCTGCTGATCTGACACAAACAACTTCTAGAATGATCCAGTTTGATCTGGTCTTAGTGCTCCTCCCAAGGACTGAAACACACCTGTTCACCTGCGTACACACACACGCTCTAAACATCCAGCTGTGCTGGGGTTAAAGGTCAAACCAAAGAACCACCAGCCTGTGAATCACCCAGTCATGCGAACCATTGATCAGTCACAGTGATCAATCCCTCATGCGTGGAAGAAATTCAGTGAAATGCATCTTTATGTTTCAAAATAAAACTTTATTTAAACAAGTTTCCTCTGTCTGTCAGCCTCATAAAAGGTGGTATTACTCATCAGTTGACTTTAATGAAAGTGAGCTTCTTTCCTTCATTAGTGTAGGTGGTTTCTAGATACTTCCAAATCAAATCAAATCAAATCACTTTTATTGTCACATCACATGTGCAGGTACATTGGTACAGCACATGTGAGTGAAATTCTTGTGTGCGAGGAACAGAGTTGTGAACTTAAAAGATGATCAGCTGTGAAGATGGAGACACTTTTAATCTGTTCTGTTACTCTGAAGGCTTTTTTAAGATGACCAAGCTAAAGAGGCCACCTGAGCAGGACTTCAGGAACCATGTGAATCACCTCACCATTTAGAGCAATGTCTCAGCCAATGAAAGAAGAAAACATGTTTGATCACTTTGACCTCTCTTGATTGATTTGTGTTTAATGTAATTAATTTCTTGTTGAGAAAAAGTAAGAGTTCTTCAAAAATGTACAACATCAAAATGCAACTGTTAAAAGAGGAACTATTTATTACGTTTTTAATGTTATAACAGTTAAAATAGTAAAAACATAATGCAAATATTTACAAACATTAATATTAAGGGACGATATATAACAGAATGAAGTAAAATAATTATAAAATATAAAATAAATATCAATTTATTTGCTGTTTTGCATAGTTGTTTTTTATTGAGGGAACAGGAAACCACGTGGCGTAATCACGCAGAGTGACGTCGCTACGCTGTGGTTGTTGTTATTTAGCAGTTATCCTGCTTAGTGTCCAGCCCAAAGAGAAAGATGTTTTTGAATTAGTTGGTTAAGCTTAACCGGACGGTGGGACTCCTCCAGCTTCAACGCCTGCCGCCCCATGAGGCGTCCGGATAATTCAGCGACATTTAACGGCGTAGAGTCCGCCAGCAGCTAGCTTAGCTCACCGGCTAGCCCCGGCTACTTAGCCGCTTAGCTGGCTCCCCCGGCGGACTTCGGGTTGGTAAATTTATTCAGTTTTTAATTATTTAACGGGTCCACTGTTGTGGTAGCTTTCTGCAGTGAACACCTTACAAATCATTAACTTGTTTTTGAAAATTCGGCGCAAAAATAACCCACCAGCTGTGATAGACGGGGCAAATATATTTATTTCTATAGTTAAAGGAAGATCTGAGGGAGAACTGCCACAAATTCTGGTGATAATATATATAACGGTCATTTACCTTTTTATTTAAACCTGTACGTATAAAACATCAAATGTCTCAGTGTTTGTGAAAACACAGAGTTGTGTTTTGTGGCAGGGAACGATGGTGAGGTTAAAACCCCGAAATTTTCAAATGGACTTTGGTCTGCTCAGCATCGATTTTACAGTAGTTTTATATCGTGTTTACTCGCATATGTTTAAAATTCACTGGCAGGCATAATTTCCGGGATGTTTTTTGATTTGATCTGAACGTTGGTGGTTAGAGTTCCCAGCCCCAGAAGCCCAATATGTGGCCATTCAGAAATGCATGTAAGACCTTTTTTTTTTTTTTTTTTTTTTAAGCAGCTATATTATTCTGAACAGATTAGTTTTGTCTGATTTATTTGAGGGCTCAGACTACAGATTAATACACATAATAACTACGCTTCAAATTTCCTGAAATCCTTTGTGCGTGGTGTAGCAGTCCTTACCCATATTTATAGTAAAAGTTAGTTTTTAATTACTGTAGGATTCTTTAAGTTAATATTGTTTTTTTTTTTAAAGCTGCAGGACAGTCATGTGACAAAATTGCTTTAAATCTACTGTTATTTATTAATTTTTTTTTATACACTGAGTTTGATGAAATTCTGCATAACTTGTCCAGTTTTTTAATGGAATTTGGCATAGCGTCCCCTGTACATCCAATTCTCTGGATACAGCAGCTCTATGAGGCGGCTCCTGTACTTTTGCCTGATTGTTTTTTTTTGTATGGTCTGAGGTATTCGTGTCATTGCAGGATGGCATCTTCCTTCAAGATTCCCAAGAAGAAACATCCTCATGGCTCTGACTCCAGTCCCCTAGACATGCAGTCACCTCTGTCCCGCCTCCAGACCTCCACCCCTCGACTAAAGGTGGTATTCCTAAATCTTCCTCGTGTCATCCGTTTGTCCCCGTGAAGTGATATTACATTCCTTTAATCCTCTGATTAACCGTTTAAGGTGGTATTAATGATCTGACAGGTTAATTGTTTGGGATATTTAAAAATGGTGTCTGTAAACTTTCTCATGTTTAGTTGATTAGTCATATGAAAAGCTAATCTACAGTTTTGAGTACTATTGAGGTGGTACTGTCTCCAGTGAAACCTTCGATACTTAAGGTGATTTAGGTTCTTAAGGTCGAATAATTGAAAATTCTGCTTTTAAGGTGACTGATTGGAAGGAGTTGCCCTTATATAGAGTGTGCAGAGTGCATATCAGGATACTTCCACTCCTTCCACTCAGTCACCTTCCCCGCTGAACAGGAGGCAACTCGTGAGACACCACTCCTTTTTTAAGGTGGTACCAGCCCATATTCTTGATGTGTGGTGATGATTTATGTTAAGGCTGTTTTGAGTAAGATTGATTTTACTTAAGGTGATATAAGTTGTTGTTTTAAAGTGTCCGACCCATTCAGTTATTTAAGGAAAGGCTCATTTAAGGTGGTATCTATAAAGTGTTGGACCTTTTTTAAGGTGGTATGTTTGAGTTAATCAAGCGGTTGTGTTTGTTTGTTTTGTGTGCAGTTTTACGGGAATCAGTCTGGCAGAGGTGGAACTGACAGGATGCATTCTGGGAATCCTGTGGGCACTTTGTCAGCCAGACAGAGGTGAGTGCAGCACCCTCTGCAGTCTAAATAGTTTATTACACTTTCCATGAAATGTTAAAAGTAACCAGGTCATTTCCTTGCAGGACACCGTGTAAGCAGCTCTTAGGAAACTTCAAGACACAGCAGGTACTCAAGAGCCCCATCGGGGGCGGAGCTTCAGACGCCAATCAAAGAGCAGCAGGCAGCTGGAGCTGCCAATCACAAGCAGGACAGAGAGAAGTGACCTCAAGCTGTTTGTCAAACAGGTGAGTTTTTCTTTTTGCACTCAATAATTTAACGAGCTGAAGCTGCACCAACATCCGCTTAAAATCATAGACTTCATACCAAAATCTTTTTAAAACTAATTTTATTGTTTGTTTTTTGGGGGGTTTTAATACAAGTTTTAGGCTCCTCTGCATCTCTAATCATAACCTTAATGTTTAGATTTACTAATGTTGACTTATTTGTTTGTACATGTCATTCATTTGAATTGAGAGTTTACAGTTTTTAAAAAATCTTCCGGTATTTAAATTTATAAGCATGATTTATTTTCTACTTAATTTTTTTTAAAAATTGGTAGTATTTTGTCACATTTCAAGTATCTTTCATAAATTTAGTTTCACCCACTGTTTTGTTGTTTTAATGACATTTAATGCAGCGGTTTTACAGAGTTTATATTTTAATATGTCCTTTGTGGTGCAATATTTTAATAATATTTTTAGGTTTCTACTTAAATATTTCTTATTTATTTATTTACAACCTAATGTGTTTAGGGAGCATTTCTAAAGATTTTTAGTTATTTTTTTATTAGTTATAATATTACAATAAATATTATTAGAATATTATTAATCATGTCCTTATTATTAGTTGGAAAGTTACTTTTTATTTTCTTTAAAATTTTTGTAGATTTGTTTCATGCTACTTACTATTAAATGTTTCAATATTTCTTTACACGTATTGACAGGCTTTAGATTTTTTTATACTTTAATTCAATGATATTTCATTGGAATTATTTTGTTATTAACTATAATTGTAAAAAAGAAGTTTCTGATATACTTTTAAGTCTTTCATTAGTGATGCAGGCTGCGAGATAATTTAAATAATCTCACTGAGTGTCTCTGTTTTCTCCACCAGATGGCGTCCTAAGAGAGCGTCTGACCGGCTGCTGCAGCCTGAGGTGGCTTTAGAGCACCTGTCTCCACCTCAGAAGAAGAAAGAGCTGTCAGGTTAGCTTTTCACAGGTAGAGAGAGGACTGTCTGAGATTTATTGATCAACGTGATTGATCGTTATTTCTTCTGCAGCTTTGGTCAATAAAAGGATCTCAGTGGACTCTGTGGACTCTCTGGCTGAGTTCAGAGGTGACGAGCATCTTGGGAGTTTGAGTTCTTCTACACTGGGAGACAAAAGGTGGAGGAGAGTTGAGTCTAATGGAGACACTTCTGAGAAGGTAAAGGTCAAAGGTTGCTGCACTTTCACAGTGAAAGTCACAAAAAGTAAAGTCATGAAACTTAAGTGAGGGGAGTTGCAATATTTTCGCAATAAAATCATCAAAGGTTTTTTAGAAAAATAAGGTTTGCAGAGTAGGCAGTATTTTCACAATAAAATTGTTTAGGATTAAACAGGTACACCTGAGATGCAGGAAAAAGTTGCAGAGAATAAAAAAGGTTTTATTGTGAATGTTTTGTAAACTTTAAATTTCCTGTTACAAACTGGATCTTCACCTTCGGTCTGATTGTTTCAGAGCGACACAGGAACTCCTCCCAAATCTCCTTTGAAACAACAGACAAAGAACTCTTCTATCTCCAGATTGAATCAAACTTCACCCTCAGGCCCACAAAGGCCTGAGGGTCACGATAAGACCATCTCCATGGTCTTATCGTCGTCGTCGACGCCAGTAAGGAGGGTGCGACTTGCCTTCACCAGCAACCTGAAGGTCAACGACAGGGAGAAGGAGAGAGAGAGGTGGAGGCAGTTCAAAGAGAAGACTAAGAACAACAGGTCAGCTGTCCTCCACCTTCGACTGAGGACACCCAAACCGAAGCTGAGCCAACCAACTGAGCCGAGTGAGTTTGATTTCCACCAATTATGTGATGGAGTCTAAGTATATGCTCCATGTTTAGTGAGTGAAATTCTAGGATGTAAATTGGCATTAATTGAAAAATCATGTTTATTTTTCAGCCCCACAGCTTGATGCTTATGGGGGAAAAGTGACAATAGTGACATGATTTGAAGGTTCTGATGTCGCTTGTTTGTTTCTTCCTTTAGTCGTGCTGTCCAGTGAGGAGGAGGAGGACTGTGAGGGAAACGGAGACGAAGCAAAGAGGACGTCACATAGCAGCAACCAGGTCGATGAATCTCGTCAGGGAAACTCTGAGAAGGTGCAGGTAGGTAAATGGAACAGAAACAGAGTTTCTTCTTTGGAAACTCAGGTTTGATGCTTTCTTGCAGAACTAATAAAGTAACTTTGTTTTATAACATGTTCGACAACAGCGGCTTCAAAATCACGTGGGCATCTTTAATAGTTATTCATGGTGTTCCTCAGGGCTCTGTTTTTGGTCCTCTGCATTTATTTTATAGCTCAAGGATGATTCAGTCTTTTTTTGTCCAGTCTTGGTTTGATTTTCTTTATTTTGTTTTCTTATCGTTTAGCCCAGGTTTAGAGCATGTTTAAGGTGTGGACTTTCAGGACAGAATAAAATGTTCTATCTATAAAGCTCAGAGAACATTGTTGTTTTAAGGTGTACAAATGCTGATAAAGGCTGTTAAAATATGACATAAGTGTTGTCTTGTAAGAATGCAGGGCACTGAGGAACAAAGTGATTACCTCTGACTCGTGACATCTGCGATAATTAAACGTCTGTAAGTGAGAAATAAAGGCCGAAGGGTTCATGATAACCTCACCCAGAAGTCAGCCGGGTTGTTCCTCAGATAATCCGAAAAAAGCACAGGGGGGGATCTCGCTGGCGGGACAAGCGGCGGTGGCGGCTGCTGCTGCTGCTGCTGCTTTATGAGAGTCACGTTTAAGAACAGCAGGCTTTCATTTCCACCTGCAGCTGCTCAGAAACAGGACGCTGCTTAATGTGGTGCACTCGTGTGACCCACAAATCCGGCATTTTAAAACCATCATTTCATCCACAACAAGCAGACGTTTCAGACTGCCTTTCCAAACAATGTGGTTCTGTTTATTAAGTTTAACAGCAGATGATTAAACCAGGATCCACTTTAACCAAAGAGCAGAGTCTGGGCTCTGCACGGGTCCTTAGAGGTGATGTTTATTAAACTCATGAAATTCAAAGGTATTAAAAGGATTTGGAGCGTGCAGCCAGTGCAGATGTGTTTGCATGCAGTCCATCAGAAACCCAGCACAGTGTTGTGACGTGATGATGGTGTTGGTAGAATGCTGAAAAGTGGGCTTGGACAGGAAAGAGAACAACAGCAGGGGTCAACAGGCAAAGGAACCAAAAACAGCCCAACGAGACAGAAGGCTACTGCAAGTGACCATTTTTTGTTTTTAGTTCTATTTAGTTATTGATTGATTTTTTTTTTTTTTTTTTTTTTTTTTGTTAACTAAAATGTATTAGACAGTCAGTTACAGAGTGTTGGAAAGTCCTGCAAGGCTCAGCCAAGAACAGTCACAGTTACACTTGGCATCAAACCATCAGGTTTACTAAAATGTAACATGGCCACCTTTAGGCTCATGAGCAAATAGAAACATTGGAAAGCGTAATGTATGAAGATTGAAAACCAAAATAGGAAGATCCACAGTGAAAATTAAACTAACAGAATCTGCAGTCCCTCCGTGGTTAGATGGACTCCATCATCTTGGACTTCATCTATGTCTCTTTTTCTTTGTCTCCTTTGACTTTGACAAAGACTTTGTCTTTGTCTTACTTAAGACATCTCTTTTTCAGTCTCCTTCTTTTTTCTCTCCTTTGTCCTGTAATCATCTTCTTCGTCTTGTCTGTCGTCTTCTTCACTATTATCTTATTCATTGTTTTCTTTGCAGTTGTCTTCATTGGCTTTTTTGTCTTCTCCTCTGTGGTCTTAAATCCAACCAGACCCTAGTCGATGAGCTGCTAAAGTGAGGGCTACCCACTGCACTCTGCACAGTCAGCAGATTATATTTAATTTGCAACAAGAATTCGATGAATAAAACATTTCCAGGAGACTATGAATGACCAAAGATCCATTACCGGTCCAGATCATCTTCCTCTGTCGACCGCTGCCTTTAGGGAGGCACCACATGTGATAATGCGAGTGTTTGATTTGATAAAGATTTAATAATCTGTAGGAAAAACAGGAAACTTCACAATAATGACTCCGTGTGTGAGGAAGAGTTTGAGCACAGGAGGAAGAATTAATTACAGTTTGTGTAAATAATCAGATGATGGAGTGTAGAATGGTGAATTCCCCTGATTTAAACTGTTCCTGATGCTGCAGATTAATAATCTCAGTGAGAATCAGATACCTGTGTGGTAATCAGTGCCAGCTGCTGCGGTCTCTCCTGTTAAGATGACCCAGTTTAGCTGCGGGGCGTCCGCGAGCTCTCGGTCGCATGTTTGAGGCCGCGGTGAGTCACCTCATTTGTTTGTGGCTCTGCCGGCCTGTAAATGCTCCTCTAAGCAGATCCAGATTGGACCTGAGTGTTTGTTGTTGTTTACAGACTGAACCTGATCCCAGCTGAGAGTCCACCATCTGCTGCACAAACAGTCGCTCGCCCGAGCGTCTGCGGCGCTTTTATTGTTTGCATTATTGTATTTTTACTGCTCTGTGTGTTAGTGGCTTTTTTCCACTCACACACATTGTACCTGTGGGCTCACTCTGTCCCTCTGCGCTGTCTAACAGGCTCCCAAACCAGTTCCTGTGACGCCACCGTCCTTCCTGCAGCTGGAGTTTGCCTCTCTTCACGCCGGCCTCACGGCTGCAGATGCTAACGGGCCGATTATGGTGAGACAGTTTGTCACAGCTTCACATAAACCTGTAAACCATAAACACGGAGACGCTCAGTGTGACGGGACACAGGAGCATCAGTGCTCTGTTATTTGTGATCTGAGGTGTGGCAGCTTTACTGAGTCACTGTTGTGGGGTCTCTCCTGCCCACAGACAGGAGTGTCACTAACAGCATGTTTACAGCTCCTCTTTCCCCTCACATGTTTATTTATGCTGATAGATACATTTTTTTTCTACTCTTAGACCCTCTGCTCTGTTTTCTGACTGTCTGCAAGAACTGCAGGTGTTTTTGTTGGTGGAACAATGAAAATTTCAGATGTTAATTAAAATTAAAGGAAAATATGTGACTTTAGTCACATGATTGTAAATTTACAACTTTTTTCATTGTAAAAATTTCAAAATGTCGTTTATTGCATTTTTGTCATAAATTTGCAACTTTTATCTAAGAGTGTCCAAGTGTTTTCCATCAAATTTACCTGTTTTTTTAATACAATTTTTTTTAATATCTAGATTTCCCATAAATTATGACTAAAATCTCAGAGAACACCTTTGTTTTGTGAATGTACACAAAAAATATTCCTTTTTTTTTTTTTTTATTGATATGTTTACATTAACAGCTAAACTTTAGGTATTTTTACTGTGACCCTGTCTCCCAGCTCCAGATGTGCTGAACCCTTTAACATACTGTAATGTTTTGCTGCTGTGAAAATGTGACGTTTTATATAGAACGGTCTAAATGAGGCACATATTTAAAATATGAAATCAAATCAAATCAAATCAAATCACTTTTATTGTCACATCGCATGTGCAGGCACACTGGCACAGCACATGCGAGTGAAATTCTTGTGTGCGAGCCCACAAGCAACAGAAATGTGCAAACACAACAACACAAACCAGCAAATACAAGAATGGCTACATCTGAAACTAATAAATATATGTACAATATATAATAGTGTATGCATTTCTGGATGTGTATACTAAACATTTTCCTGTGTGTGTGTGTGTGTGTGTGTGTGTGTGTGTGTGTGTGTGTGTGTGTGTGTGTGTGTGTGTGTGTGTGTGTGTGTATACACATTTTACAAATTAAATAGTAAAAACAATAAAATAAAATATATAAAAATATACAGAGTTGAGACATGTGCAAAACAGTGGCATTACTGTACAGTATGGAGTGCATAATGTTGAAGTTCCAGTAGTGAAGCTGAGGTGTCTATGACGTGTTCAGCAGTCTGATGGCCTGGTGGAAGAAGCTGTCTCTCAGTCTGCTGGTACGGGACCGGATGCTGCAGAACCTCCTTCCTGATGGAAGTAGTCTGAACAGTTTATGGCTGGGGTGACTGGAGTCCTTGATGATCCTCCCCGCTTTCCTCAGGCAGCGCTTCCTGTAGATGTCTTGGAGGGAGGGAAGCTCACCTCCAATTATCCGTTCAGAGCACCGCACTACTCGCTGGAGAGCTTTGCAGTTGTAGGCGGTGCTGTTGCCATACCAGGTGGTGATGCATCCAGTGAGGATGCTCTCAATGGCACAGTGATAGAAGGTCCTGAGGATGCGGGGGCTCATGCCGAATCTTTTCAGTCTCCTGAGAAAGAAGAGGCGCTGCTGCGCCTTCTTCACTGTTTTGTTTGTGTGTACTGACCACGTAAGATCCTCAGCCAGATGTACACCAAGGAACCGGAAGCTGCTCACTCTCTCCACAGCAGCGCCGTTGATGGTGATGGGGGTGTGTACTTCTCTGCACCTCCGGAAGTCCACTATCAACTCCTTTGTCTTTGCGACGTTGAGGGTGAGATGGTTGTCTTGACACCAGTGGGTCAGGGCGCTGACCTCCTCCCTGTAAGCCGTCTCATCACCGTTGGTGATAAGACCCACCACTGTAGTGTCGTCCGCAAACTTCACAATGATGTTGGAGTTGTTAGTGGCTGTGCAGTCGTAGGTGTAGAGTGAGTACAGGAGAGGGCTCAGTACACACCCCTGTGGAGCACCAGTGTTCAGTGTGATGGGGGATGAGGTGATGCTGCCCAGTCTGACCACTTGGCGTCTGTCAGACAGGAAGCTAAGGATCCAGCTGCAGAGGGAGCTGCTCAGTCCTAGATCCTGCAGTTTCCTGTCCAGCTTCGAGGGAACGATGGTATTGAATGCTGAGCTGTAATCTACAAACAGCATTCTCACATACGTGTCTCTCTTCTCCAGGTGTGACAGGGCAGTGTGTAGTGTCAGGGCTATGGCATCATCAGTGGACCTGTTGTGGCGGTATGCGAACTGTAGAGGGTCCAGTGAGTCGGGTAGTGCAGAGCAGATGAAGTCCCTGACCAGCTTCTCGAAGCATTTGCTTACGATGGGGGTCAGGGCTACAGGTCGCCAGTCGTTCAATGAGGAGATGGTGGAGGATTTGGGTACAGGGACGATGGTGGCCATTTTGAAGCAGGCTGGGACTACAGACAGAGAGAGGGAAAGGTTGAAGATGTGCGTGAACACTCCAGCCAGCTGAGCCGCGCATGACTTGAGGACGCGGCCGGGAATCCCGTCCGGACCAGTAGCTTTGCGTGCGTTCACCTTCCTGAAGCACTTCCGCACATCCTCCTCAGACACAGTGTGCGCACTGACGTCATCCGCGGTGCGCACACTGTCCGGTCTCATGGTGTTCGCTGCGTCGAATCTAGCGTAGAATACGTTTAGATCCTCACACAGAGAGGCCGTGGTCTGCGGTGTGCTGGTTTTCCCTCTAAAGTCTGTGATCGTGTTTAGTCCCTGCCACATACTCCGAGGGTTGTCAAACTGTTGCTCCACCCTGTCCCTGTACTCACGTTTGGCTGCTTTGATCGTCTTCCGGAGTTGGTAATGTGCGTGTTTGTAGTCCGATGTGTTCGCGGAGGCAAAGGCGGTGTTCCGTGCCGCCAGTGCCGCGCGAACATCTCCGTTAATCCAGGGTTTTTGATTTGGGAAGGATTTAACTGTTCTGGATGGGACGACATCTTCCACGCATTTCCTGATAAATCCACAGACTGAGTCTGTGTATTCATCAATGTCTTTTGCGGCTACGTGAAACATTTCCCAGTCCGCGTGATCAAAACAGTCCCGCAGCGCAGACTCCGATTGGTCCGTCCAACAGTGCACCGCCCTCCGGGTTGGAGCTTCCTGTTTCAGCTTCTGCCTGTAGGCGGGCAGGAGCAGGATGGAGCAGTGATCTGATTGGCCGAATGGGGCGCGGGGGAGGGCTTTGTACGCATCCCGGAAAGAGGTGTAACAGTGGTCGAGAAGCCGGTTCCCACGTGTATTAAAGGGAATGTGTTGATGTAGTTTTGGTGAGACTTTCTTCAGGTTTCCCTTATTAAAGTCTCCGGCTGTGATAAACGCTGCCTCTGGGTGTGCGGTTTCCTCGCTGCTGATCGCGCTGTACAGTTCCCTGAGTGCTCGGTCAGTATCGGCTTGTGGGGGAATGTAAACAGCCGTAATAATCACTGCTGTAAATTCCCTCGGTAGCCAAAATGGCCGGCACTTAATCATCAGGTACTCCAGGTCCGGTGAGCAGAAGGATTTGACCGGGTGCACGTTCGCATAATCACACCAGCTGTTGTTGATCATGAAACATACACCACCGCCTCTGCTTTTCCCAGTAAGATCCTGTGACCTGTCCGCGCGATGCACGGAGAACCCCGGCAGTTGTATTGCAGAGTCCGGTACCTTGTCCGATAGCCAGGTTTCTGTGAGGCAGATCACGCAGCAGTCCCGCATCTCTCGCTGGAATGAGATCCGTGCCCGAAGCTCGCACAGCTTGTTCTCCAGAGACTGCACATTAGCCAGCAATAAACTGGGTAACGGTGGTCTGTAAGTGCGCCGTCTCAGTCGAACCAGAACGCCAGATCTTTTCCCTCTGCGTCGGCGTTTGCGGCCTCCAGGGACAGAGAACAAAGGCGTCTCAGGTGAGATGAATGGGGGGTCTGCAAACGGAGCGTCCGTGTTGCAAAACTTGAACTCCGGAAAGTTATAAGAAAGACCGTCTTTTATGTCCAGTAAGGTTTGTCGGTCATACACAAGGAGACAAGTGCTGCTCGTGAAAAAATAAAGGAAAAGTAAAATTAAACACAGAAGAAAGCCGTTGCTTGGGGGAGCTCGCGACGAGGCTGCCATACTCGGCGCCATCTTGTAAAAAAAATAAATTTATTTATTGTTATCGTTACGTTTTCTTTTTATGTATTTTATTTTATTATCCTTTTATTGTCTCATTAGTTCAACAATATTGTTTGTTTTATATG